AAAGAGGCAAGCTCACTCTTTTTAGAAAGTTAACTCTGGGCTGGCCCTATAACCTAGTGGTTAAGGGAACCAGATCCCACACAGCCTACCATAGCTTGAATCCTGATCACAGCAACTTGGAAAATACACTGGGTGTGTGTGCATGTGTTCCTAAAATCCCAACAGGGTGGAGAAATGGAGGACAAGGAATTGCGGCATGACTCACGTCATGGGAAGTGCTTTCTCCTTCTCCTCTGCCTCTCTGGTGAGCAAGAGCATGTGACCTCTGGCAGTTAAGAAAATGTTAACTCTTCATTTCCTCGAAAATGAAGTATTCTTAGAACAGAATGAGGAATAATGCTTAGGGAATTTGAGGAGAATCAGAAGTAGATTGAATATAAGAAAAAAAAGCCTCCAAAATTACACTAGAAATCCTTATTTTAACTGGATTGTGTTCCCTCACTGCTCCCTCTCAATTCCTTTCTGTTGCTACCTTCTCCATATAAAAAATACCCTAAGCTATTTAGAGTGGGAAGTCCGTCTTAATGGAGCAGAAGTGCCTGCATTTGCTTTATCGTGACCTCCTGTTTCTGAACTGTCTTGAGGGCACTAATTATATTCTAAAGAATAAAAACACATTTTTTTTCTCAATGTTCTTTAGTAATTCATTTATCCACATATGCATGCCTGTTAGTGGTCTCTTTTATTTAGTCATCTCTTCTTAGAATAACAATCCTTTGGAAAATACAGTGGTGAATTATGTTTTACAGCAGTGAAATTCCTGAGTGTGAAAAACAAGTTGGCTATATTCAAATGTATTTACATACATTTCCTTTTATTGACATTTTCTTACTTTCTTGAGTTCTTAACAACAAAGGTGAGAAAATGTTATGTTTTAACCCAACATGAATATACTTCACACCAGTCAACGTACAAGCTAAGTGATGGATGGTGATTAAATGTATAAAATAAATTAAAAGAAAATGTTAGGTTTTAATCCTTGAAATAAAATAAAAATTAATCTAATGTTCAGTCTTGCTTGCAAGGCTTAGGTAAAGTCACTAATCAACTTAAATTGCATTTTAAAAAAACTTTCCACTATGAAGACAACAGGAGGCATATGGTTGGGGTGCTGGGTCCCACACGGTCAACTCCTCCATTGGAGTCATGGACTTGGGGCTTGAAAAACACGTTAGGCATGTGTGCATGTGTGCCCAAAATCCTGAGAGGAGAATGGAGAAGAGATTGCGTTCAGCAAGGCCAATCTTCCCAGGCCAGGTAAGGGGAGTGATTTCTCGCTTTGCCTCTTTCTCTGTCCATTGGTGAGTGCACATACCCTATAGCAAAAATCTAAAAATAAACTTTCTGCTATGGTAAAGTTTTCATTGTATTTGCCCAAGGGAAATGCCACTTTTTATTGGAATTCTGTTTGGTAGGTATGCTTGCGTAAGATATTCGGTAACTTTGTAATATTCAATAATACACAATCAATTATATGTATTCTTCATTGGAAAACTTTTTATGCTAAGAGAGAATTTATCTTAAGAATAAGAGAAAATGTTTTAATATGGATTTATATTAGATCTGTTCAGTTTCAATTTAAGTAAAGTTGACCTTTATGGAAAACATTAAGTATCACAGAATAACTTGAAATTTTTAAGAAAAAATATTAAAAAAAGAGAAGGGCAAAGAGGAAGGAACAAGAGGAACTAAGAGTGCATTTTATTTCATTTTTATTTTTAGTGTGGCAAATGGGTACAACTTCAACTGGCTGAATCACAGCCCAATCTTCTAGAAATTGGTAGCAACCAAGATGAAACCAGAAAACTTCTACATGATCATGAACTTCTCTTGGCCAAGCTCAAGGTAAGATATTAAGACATGAAGCAGATACAAAATTGAAAAGAAATACAAAGTTATTTCTTATACTTCCTCTTGATTCTTCTGGTATCAATTGCCTATGGTCATTTTATAATAATATGGTGTCAGATAGATAATGGAAAAACACTATATTTGGTGATGGGCAGACATTACTGTCAGAGAGAAGTAACAATATTTTTTAAAACTTTCCATAATGTGATAGAAAATATGTAGTGATAATGTTTTCACTGTGGAGAAATAAGTAATTTTTTTTTTCCTGGCTGCCTCAATGAAAAAAATTCCATCATTTTTCCATTTCATACATAATACTGTCAAATCACAACAACAGATCCAGACTTTTTATTGTTAATGATGCCATCTGGTAAGCATAATTCAGAAGCTTTTTTTCCCTGTCAAACTATTAAAAATATCTGATTTTGTGTAGAGTAATAAGAGTCCTTGAAATCAAATTATGAGAGGTTTTCAAAAGCTCATGAAAATGGATATTATGACAAAACCACACATGGATTATAAAATTGTTTTGTGCCAAAATAAATTCATACTTTAATTCCATTTTTCCACACCCTTTTTAAAGTACCCTTTTAGTGAAATCGGACTTACTATTCTATGCATTGAGTTGTCAGAAGAATCATGACATTTTTCCTATGATTTTTAATGCAAAAATGAGTCGTGACTTTTCTGATAACCCAATATGTTGTGATTATTCAGTTAAGAATCCAAAAATTACATTGGTTTGAGATTTGCAGGAAGGGCCAGGTGAGGTCAGGGCCAGACACATAATTTATCAGGCCCAATGCAAATGAAAATGTGGGCCCCTTGTTTAAAAAGTAGAAATGGGGACCACAGGTGCCATAGTGGTTAAGGTGTTGGACTCCAACATAGCCAACCGTGGTTTAAGCCCAGAACCTGTAGGCTTCAAAATCACACCAGGTATGGGACCAGCAGTTAGTGTAATGGTTATGTCGCTGGACTCCCATGTAGTTGACCGCGGTTCACATCCCAGACCCGGTGACTTAAAAGTCATGCCAGGCGCGTGTGTGTGCGTGCCCAAGATCCCAAGAGGAGAGTGGAGGAGAAGGGATTGCGACATGGCCAGCCCCCCTGGGGGTGATTTCTCACTTTCTGTCTCTCTGTCTCTCTCTGTCTGGCGAGTGCACGCACCCTATAACAAAAACCTATTCAAAAAAAAAAATCACACCAGGTGTGTGTGCATGCGTACCCAAAATCCTGAGAACAGTGGAGGAGAAGGAATTACAGCATGGCCATACCCCCTTTGGAGGGGGGATTATTTCTCATCTTCCCTCTCTCAGTCTCTCTCTGGTGAGTGCATATACCCTATGGCAAAAAACTTAAAAAGTAGGGGAAGGCTTTCTCTCAGTATTTTAATTTGCTATTTAATGTCTGACTCCTTCAGCCACAGGGATATGTGTTAATGAGCAGTAACTTTCATAAATGCCTGGTGTGGCTCATGACTCAATGCACTGGGTGTGGGCCTGATCTCAACCTTCCAGCTAGGCCAGGTGGCAGAGGTCACTGAGCAAGACCACCTATGCATGAGAGTCCTGTCCCCCAGCACCTGCTGTGCCATCCCACTGGACTTCATTTACAAACACAAATTCAAAAACAAACTGATTAAGAATTTCAAGGCCATGACAGAACATTGAACTCCATGAAGCCCCGTCTGAGAATAAGTCCTGTGATGTAGACAGACCCAGAGTAATAACCCTTGTAGGCAAATAAATGTCTCAGATCAGAGTTTTCATGAAGATTCAGAATCCTCCAATGAATAGGATATTCTCTCTCTCTCTCTCTCAGTGCGTGCGTGTGTGTAATGTGTGTACTAACTTCTTTGATCATCTAGGCTGCAATTTACACTTGTTTTCTCAGTTTAGAGACAGCTCTGATCTTCATCTGTTACATAGGCAGAGTTTTCTGATTTCAACAGTGGTAAAAAGTAATTGAGTAAATCAGATAGGTTGAAGGAAGAATTATTACTGAACTAAAGTGTTGTTAGAATCCAGAATTCATCCCCTTGCTCTGGGTTGTCTTTCAAGGTAGAAATTGCTATTATCAGGATTTTTTTTTTTTTTTTTTTTGTATATGGCAGGGGTGGGAAGGATAGCTGTGGAAGTGGGTGAGAACAAATCATTTTGATGTGAAGAGCATTGAACCAGGAATCAAAAGGCTCATTGTTTGGTCCTAATTATGTCACAAACTAGTGCAATTTGGCTCGCAACTCAAAGTCTTCACACAGAAAAAGCTGTGTAAATTTGTCTTTAATCTCCAATTCCATGAACTGTGGAAACCTCTTACTTCCTCATAATTCCTGCCCTTTCCTGGAGATTTGCTTTCTCATAGGCCCCCTGTGTTCCCAGCTCCTTTGTATGCACCTGCCAACTGTGTTTGCTGAAACTAACCTGGACTTGAAACAATATCTAGCCATGGTTCCCACTCTTAATTCATGCCCAGCCAGCACCATCCAATCCACTGATGAATTGCGGGCAGCAAGAAGGCTCACAGCAGTATGGTCTCCCAGGCTACTTCTCTTCTCCCCTTCCATCAAGACCCACAACTGCAAAGAGAATACTCTTTCAGGTGAAGTGATTCAGATCTCTCCAGAACTTATGCTCAAATTTGCATATCTAAATCCATCTTGGAGCTCAGTGGAAAAGGGTTTCCATTAAACAGGGTCTCTCTGCCTTAGAAAATACCTGTGGTTCCAGATTCTAAATGTCTTCCTTTTATGCCAGTCTTCAGGCTGTGAATTAGCTACAGTCTTCTGGACTTCAGGCTTTGCATCTGTAAAAGGAGAGAACAGATTAAAGTTTCATATCTACTGTGGATCTTCCCATAATGTGCCATAGGCTTATGGGGCCACTGTTACATACAGGTTGAAGCAAACAAGTCTCACATGGAAAGGTCTTTTTGCTATCCTAGGCCTCTAGCCATAACCTCTGAATGTGTCTCCCATAATCCTCGTCACTCATCTGCTACTATCAACCCAACCACCTTGCCCCCCAAAATTATGTGTAGTACCATCATCTTCCAGATATCTGATGTTAATATTATTTATATTTAAAAATAGAAAAGAAAGAAAAGAATAAATTATTAAGAATCCTGAAGTCTATTTCAGATTTACCAACTTTAAAAAATAACAAAAATGTGACTTCTGTTTTGCATATAGATGGATCACTAATTCAACCAATTTAATAATTATTTTGCAGTCACAGTAGGCACGTTTACCTGTAGCAGAAAATTGTTGGGTCCAAGTTAGTTTTAATATGAGCTTTTTCAGAGGAAAGGATGTTGTTAGTAGTTTAATAAGTGAATAATATTTAATATTTAATGTTCAGCTCAGTCCTTTTCCTATGCATAAGGCCCTCAATTTGTTCTAATTATAAGGAAGACTGCTCTGTAAGGGGTATTGGCTAAGTACAGTCTGGTTTAGACACAGCATTTAGCCTCTCTGGTCTCAGGGTGTTTATTTGAAAAATAAGGATAATTATATTTACCCTCATACATTCAAAAAGGAAATTTTGGGTAGAAATGCAATGATATATGGAAGTGCATGCTACTTAAAAAAAAGAAAAAGTGGCATAATTATTTTGTTAATAATGAATATATCAAAGTAATTTGGATGTTTAACTTAAAAAAAAAAAAGCTATTTTTTGCCTTCCACTGAAAATGATCTCAAACCCTAGCCATTTAGACTAAAGGGAAAAATTCTGAAAGCTCAGAATTCTTATGAGTGTCTCTAATGTTGGTGATATCTATGCACCAGAGATCTTATTTCCCCTTCAGGGATGTGCTTAACAATCCTGGTAGAAGGTCCAGGGGAAAAAGTATTTTCGTATTTTCAATGGTGAAAACATAATAATATGGGAAAAGTTTAACTCTCAGAATGCATCTAGATTCTCAAGCCATACTCAAGTTATTTTTAATGAGAAAGAAGGAATTCAGGAAAGAGAAGAAAAGGTAAGTTTCAGAAGTCAGGTAAAGAGCTGCTTATGACCACTATAGACCTTACATCCTCAAGTGAGGCAAAAACTAGTTAAAGGAAGGAGAGACAGTGAAAATACCTTAGGCGTGCTGCTGAGAGGCTTCTCCTCCACTTCTTTCAACCATGTCACTGTTGTCCAAGGGCATCATGGTTTAAGGACCAGGAAAATCTCCTGGACACTGACTCCTATATTTGCAGATAAAACAATATTAGCCTTCAGTGAAAATCACCCTTAAGAGTAAAAACACTTAAAAATTTCATCTCTAATTTAATTCTCATAAGTATATCTATTGGTTTCTTGGTTTGATTAAATCTCTAATCCAACAAATGCTTTTTTTTAGTCTGATTTCTGCTTACTGAAGTAGAAATAAAAGTAGTCTAAGTAGATATGTTAGTAGTAAAGCTAAAAAAAGTCTTATTAAATTTACTTTAAATGAGGGATAGTGAGGTTTTCTGCTGTTAATATAAAGTATTTTCTAAGAATGCATTTAAAATATTTTCATTGCAGTAGATAACAAAGTTTTTCCCTTTAACCCTTTTACGTATACAATTTTGTACATTAATTCTACTCACAGAATTGTGCAGTCACCATTGCTGTATGGTTCCCCAACTTTTTTCATACCCTAAACAGAAACTCTATCCATTAAGCAATAACTCCATTAGTACTTTCATTGGTAACCTCAAATCAACTTTCTTTTTTTGTTACTTATTTTTTCTCTATTCTTGTTAGAGCTCGTGTGTGCATGTGTGTGTGTGTGTGTGTGTGTGAGAGAGAGAGAGAGAGAGAGAAGCATTTTCTGTAGAGTTTGGTCATGCTACAATCCCTTCCTGCAGTCCTCTAGCCCATCAGATCTTGGTCACATGCTGTGTGCTCAGCATGTGTGACCAGCAAGGCATTTGAAACATGACCACCATGTGAGATTCGGCTTCTCTGAGTAGTATGTTACAACCATACCATGGAGCTGGCCCTCTAAACCTCTTTCTG